TAATCCCTACCAAAAAAAACTCTGTGCCAACAACCACATTTCTACATCAAAACAAGATTTGCTCCCTAATTTGGATGGTCAAAAAGAGCTATTACTGATGTAATTAATATGATCTAACTATTTAATGGGAGTTCTGGTGGCGTAGTGCCTAAGGTATTTGCCTGCTAACCAGAAGGCTGGTGATTCAAACCCACCAGCGACTCCTCGGAAGGAAGGCTGGGCAATCTACTTCCGTAGTGATACCAACTGATTTAATAAATCTGTATTAAAGGGAGAATAATAGCAATTGCACATTCAATTTATAAATTCAATTCTCTTTGACCAATCATTTAAAGAAAATCAACTATCCACAAAATTTATAATCCCAGTTAAACATTTAGTGTGCCATCTATATGGCACTCAAGGATCTCACAAAAAGTAGAAAAGACAGATATGTAAAGAGACTATTTCAATATAATGTCAAACACTAAACTAGCAATCTGTAGAACAGAACCCCAAAGTCATTCATTCCTGTTCTACCCTCTGCTGAGAATCTGCCTTTCCATCCCAGATTAACTGAATCAAAATCTGTATTTTAGTAAGATCCTCAGGTGATTCCTATGCATATATAAGAATCACCTGGGAAGCTTGTTAAAATGTAGATTCTGATTCAGTATTTTTGGGGTGGAAAGGCAAATTTTCAGTGGGGCGGGGGGGGTGTGTGTGTGGGGGGTGCTGAACAGGAATGAATCTGTTCTAAGCCTGTGTGGAGGACCCCTTGCAGAGAAAGAGTCCCTAGTCCCCAGAAATGCTGAGCCAAAGCTAAAATCTGAGATGAACAGGGCTAGTGTACCCAGACCTCAAACTCCCTCCTTCTCAACAATGCTTGAAGAAGTATGGTCTAAGAGTTGTTTTCAAATTTGAATGTGCATAATTTGGGGTGCTTCTTAAAATTAAGAATTTTTTCCACTGACTTACTAAATTAAAATTTCTCAGAGTGAGACCTGAAAACAAGTTTCGCAAGTGATTCTGACATAGGTGCTCCTTGACTACATGTAAAAACAAAACAACAAACTGTGGTGCAGTGAATTACTTGGTATGGCTTTTCTAGCCATAGTCTGTTTAACTCCCACCAGATACTCTATGGGACCATGCAAATAAGGTGTGTGAAACCCTGATGTTGGGAATGGTTAGTTTTGTGACTCTGCCAGGCTTAAAATGAGCCTTCCAAGAGACAGAGAGGAAGATCTCACTGCCATCAAGGGAGAAGAGCTGGAGGTGAAGTAGAGTGCATCCTTGGACCAGCAATACCTGTACTGGACTTCCTTGGCAGAGATGCCCCAGCAGACAGTTCCAGTGAAACCAAGGGGCAAGAGACAGAGTGGCAGCCTTACCTGGCCCATGGAGCAAGAGTGCCCATGGGCAGGAGACTTGCTGACAGAGTAAGGTGCACCTAGGTGTACCTATCGGCAGAGCTAAAAGAGCTTTATGACACTTGCCCAAGTAGGGTTAGGTGGTTAGGCCAAGAGGCCAAGGACCAGAGAGGTGTGTCTGAGGTCACAGCAGAAGGGAAACTGTCCTGATCATATCCCTGAACCTGAATTGTAGCCTGTTACTTCCCTAATAAACCCCATAATCATGAGTATTGTCAGTGAGTTCTGTGTGGACACTGCAATGAATTATTGAACCCAGCAGAGAAGTAGTGAGTGCCGTGAGAGAGACATGGTGTCAGAATTTGTAAGAGGCTGCAGAGTGGTGGCATGTCTGACCTCATAGGAATAAGCCTTGAGCTGCTGATGGTGATTCTGTTTTCCTCTTGTGAAGTTAGAGGACATCAGAAGATGCCACTGCCAAGTCATTTTTGCATAAACCAAAACCAAATCCACTGTCTTCAAGTCAATTCTGACTTAGAATGACTCTACAGGTGCTAAAACAGCGAGGAGGCCACATCTTCCGACCTCCTCTAACCCTACAAGAGGAAGACAGGATTACCAGCAGTAACCCAAGGCCTATTCCTACAAGGCCAGACATGCTGCCTCCCTCCAGCCCTTTCACCAACCGTTCCTCCCAAAGCACCCACCACCTCTCTCCTGGGTTCGGTAATTCGCTGCAGTGGCCACACAGAGCTCACAGATTATGGGGTTTATTAGGGAAGCACCACAGGCTACAATTCAAGTTCAGGAAAAATGCTCAGTCTCTCTCACAGCCCACCGTCCCTCAGCCAACAGTCTCTTTACAGTCTCTTCCCCAGCAGTGCTGGTCCCTCGGTGTCTCACTCAGCAATGCGTGTCTCTTGCGTCTCTTTCCCAGCAACGTGTATCTCAGGAGCCCGTGTCTCTTTCAGCAGCACGTCTTCCTCAACCAGCAGTCAGAGAGAGAGTTCTGCCTCTAGGAGGCCTCCTTTTGATCCTGGCAGAGTGGCTAAACTAGCCAATCATAGCATCAGAACTCTAAGCAACTGAGAGAGAGTGGGAACCTCCCAGAACACTGTTTTGTGCCACTCCCAACAGAAATACTCCAGGTGGGTGACTTTAGCAATCAGGAGCTCCTCAGTTGCTATTAGCAATTCCCATCTTGGAGTTTACAAAGACTTATGGGTAGAAAAGCCACATTAAGTAATTTACTACACCAAAACAGGACAACGAAGAACTACCCCAATTAGGTTTCCAAGGCTGTAAATCTTTGGGGAAGCAGACTGCCACACCTTTCTCCTGTGGAGCAGCTGGTGGGTTCGAACCACAGACCTTTCAGTTAGCAGCTAAGCATTTAATCACTGTCCCACAAAGAACAAGCACTCTAGATTTGATTAGGGGTGGATCAGAACCCAAACTTTTCTATGTCAAGCTGTATGGTTACGCCCAGCAAGTAACTTAACTTCTCTGAGCCTGCTTCTTCAGCTCTAAAATGTAAAAGAGTAAACCTCTTTTGCAGTGATGTTTTATTTACATAAAAAGTGGTACTTAGAAGGCATTCCATAAACATTAGTCTTTTTATAAAATGCTTCATACTTGGGTTACTTTTCAATCTATATGTCAATCTAATCATTTTAAGAATTGTATATACTAGTACCTTGTCATCCTAAAAAAAAGCTTACTGTATATTGTTGTTGCTTAGTAGGTGAGAACTTTCAAGTACAGTAACTTGTTTGATGCCAAGAACACTTTCTGTATCATGCAAACAATTCTTAATAGAGCTCATATATGTGTTAAAATAAACAGACTAAACCATACCTGGAAATCATGAATGATATGATGAACTGCATCAGAATCCAATAGATTAACCTGTTCAAATTTTGGTCTTGCTCTTCTAAAACCACAGCCAACAGCATGCCAATTATTCTGCTGAAATTCTTTGTATACAGCTCTGCCAAGAAGCCCAGTGGCACCAGTAATCAGAACCCGCCTATTAGGGATGTTAACTTCCTCCTAAAAGATGAAAGGAGGGAGAGGAGAAATAATCTCAAATAAATTAGTCACCATTATCATTTACTAAATGCTTCAACGATTCATGTCCCTTATTTACAGGCCAATTGTTAAGTTAAAACACAGATTATTTAATAAAGCTTTTTTGACAATTGTTACTACTTATGAAAAAATTTTAATAAATCTTTTATAAGAAAAAGAGCATAAGCTGATACTGCAAGGAATTAAATAATTGAACAGATTCAGATTTCACTTCTCAATAATTAAAAAAATCTTCTATTTATGATCACTGATGCCCAAATGGAAGCAATGCCCAAATAAGCAGTAAACATCAACTTCAATAATGTTAAGTTTATGAAAATACAGGTAGTTTTACATTTACTTATTTTATAACCTGATTATGTATTTGGACGATATTCTGTCTATATGTTTACAGATTGACATTTCTGGTCTTCAGTTTTTAATTTCAAATTCCAGCAATTTATTTATCATATTTTGATGGGCCAAAGTTAGAAAATTAGTCAATATTACACAAAAATTTAGAGGAAGGCAAACCCAGTCCCTATATCACTAATATGCTTTCCTATGTTTAGCTAACTGGTAAATGTTTCTGAGTTAACTCTAAATTTACCTATGCAGAACAGTTAAAACCAAGAAACACAGGAGTTTTTTAAAAAAATGAAAAGTAAAAAATCTGAAGTTTTGAATTGATATGTGTGATATGTGAAATTTCTTCACACAGAAGTTCTAAACTACTATTTAGAACAATTTAAATCTTATGTTTCCAAGGCACAGTTTCAAAAATTTTCCCTTCTCTCCAAGAGGGATAACACCAATTTTCCTCTTCATAGTCCAAATAAAGTCAACATTTATGATTAAAAAAAAAAAAAAAAAAAGATTTTATGAATGTAAGGTCTTGTTTCAAGTGTGGTTGGTCCCCTAATTCTGAGCTGCTACATGTATACATCTAAAGACCTTTCTTTTTTAGCCCTTAGTTAAATAGAAGCATTTACAAGACTATTCACTTAAACATAATTTCTATAAAGTTAGCAAAATCTAGTTATTCCATCAGAGGGAAAACCTGAAATAAAGTACAGGGAGATATAGAACAAAGGTAAATTCTTACAAAATTTTTCCTTAGTTCAACCAGTGTCAAGACATGTTAAAAGTGGAAGGAAAATTAATTGGGGCTCTCTGTTGCCAAAAGTGGCTCTAAGCCAACTGATCTATAGATACAAAGTTTTCAGCCAACGAAATTTTTTTTTTTAACTTTGGCAAGCAAACAGCTCTACAAAGCCTGAATTGTAAAGAGGTGAACACATGCCAGGTATAGAAGAGAGACAGTCAGAAAAATAATTAACACAGGATAAATATTGTTAAGGATCCTAGGAAAACACTATGCAAAATTACTATTTTTTCCCCTGAGTTTTTCACTTTTACCTCACTCTAGAGAAGTAAATGGAACGGGTAAGTTTTTAGGTCAGTGGTTCTTGAACTTTAGAGTAGATCAGAATCACGTGGAGGGCTTTAAACTAAAGGAGGCGAGACCTGATAATGTGTATTTCTAACAAGTTCCCAGGTGATGCTTATGCAGGTGACTTGTGGGGACTGCACTTTGAACTGCAAGATAAATTTTAAGACTTTGATAAACATCCATTTATCTTATTCATACAAAGCAAAAAATTGCCCATCTATCTTTCTAGAAGGGACAACAATATTTTTCACTCTTAAAAAGAAAAAACTATGTAAGGTCCCTAGAATAAGAAACAATCCATGGTTCCTAGTGGTCAGGTATCAGTGCTTAAGAATATTCTTTGTTGTGCTACATGTTACTTTTTTCTAATACAATGTAAATGCCATTATAGGAACCATTTCAGTAACTTGATCACTGATTCCTACACAGACAGCCCAAACGCACAGTACATCTCCCCTACTCTTCAGCAGCAGTACAAATGGAGGTGCACACATGTAACTTGTTTCCACTTTTCCAAATTGACTGAACTGTGTGTGTGTCACTGTTTCAGGATTTTGAAAAGAAAGAAAACATGGAAGAAGAGCTATTTTTCTCTCTCTTGGTTAGAGAGTAAAAAGAAGAAATCTGATCATTGTTCAAGTCCTTTATCTTACTTATACTTTTAGCCATTGTGAAAAACATACTAAACTGAAGTTTTAAAAAGCACATTCCAAAACGGCAAGAAAGAATAAAGAATTTTTTTTTTTTTTTAATTCAAAGAGCATGAATCTCAAGTGCAAGTGTTTACGGAAATAGAATGATTGGCACAATCATATATTTGAAAACTGTTGTTGTTGGTGTGTGCCGTCGAGTCGGCCCCGACTCATAGTGACCCCTCCTTGGGTTTCCGAGGCAGTATCACTACGGAAGTAGGATTGCCCAACCTTCCTTCCGAGGAGTGGCTGGTGGGTTTGAACCGCCAGCCGTCTGGTTAGCAGGCAAGTGTCTTAGCCACTATGCTACCAGAGCTCTACCACGTGTTATATGAACAGATTTTCAATACATGCTACTTTTTGGTAATAATAACAGCCTGGTTAGATAAGCAGGGCAAGTATTATTTTCTAAGTGAGAAACCTAGTCTGGAGATGTTAAAGGTTTTGCCCACAGTAAAAATGAAAAAGCTGGGACCAGAAATTGGGTCTTCTTGCTTCTATAGTCGAGCCAAACAAATACATAGGGAGTTTGAACATAAAATTGATTTTATGCATGATTAAGGCTCTGTCCTGCTATGGAGAAGTTACTCATTTCTATTGATTTAATTCCTCACTGGTAAAATGAGGAATTTGAACAAGATGACTAAGGCTCTTCCAAATTCTGTAATTCTAACTGTTTCCTTATATCCTTATCATAAAGGATATAAATATGGTACAAAGAGCTTTATTTTTCCTCTTTCCATATACTTCTCTCTAGAGACTCTACAGCACCTTCTGTCACCAGTATCGGAGCTAAAACAAGACTTTATTATTTGGATTGCAGGATTATTGGTGGCTGGCAAATAAACTATGCATCACTCTGAAATGTAAAATTCCAAGGTATCCCTCCAGATTACAATGACATTTCATTCTTTTTCTAGACTATTTTCAGTATAAGTTAATGCAAGAGTACTCAAGCAGAAATCATGGTCCTAGAGCACTTTGTTTAACTATTCTGAAAGAGCCATAAATCTCCCACTACCTAGATGATCTGGTATCATTTGATTAGATAACATAATTAGAACAGAAACTCCAGATTTATTTATATGTATTTAATTTTTCAAGTAGTCTTTTGGTGTTTCTTAATCTGGTCACCTGGACTTCTTGAATTCTGTTCACTAAATAATGTACACAGTAAGAGGCAAATATGTTCAGAGTAACTGAAATTGATGTATGATCTGTTTCATCCATATAATAAAAACTGAGAAGCTCAACTTCCCCTTTGGTCTTGCATAGTTGATTGTTCTGAGGATTAAGTTCCTCATGGGTGTTATTATTCCCTTTGGGGTGGTGTTGTTAGGTGCCGTCGCAGAGACCCTGTGAACAACAGAACAAAACACTGCCCTGTTGTTTGCCATCCTCACAATCCTTGCTATGCTTGAGCCCATTGTTGCAGCTCCTGTCTTGATCCATCTTGTTGATGGTCTTCCCCTTTCTCTGACCCTCTACTCTACCAAGCATGATAGCCTTCTCCAAGGATGGTCCCTTCTGACAACATGACCAAAGCAGGTGAGCCGAAGTCTGCCCATTCTCACTTCTAAGGAGTATTCCAGCGGCACTTCCTCCAGGACAGATTTATTTGTTCTTCTGGCAGTCCATAGTATTTTCAGTATTCTTTGTCAATACCACAATTCAAAGGCATCTGCTCTTCTTTGGTCTTCCTTATTCACTGTCCAGCTTTCACATGCATATGAACCAAACCAAACTCACTGCCATTAGGTGGATTCCAATTCATAGCAATCCCCACTGGGTTTCCAAGCCATTAAATCTTTATGGAAGTAGATCGCCCTGTCTTCCTTACACGGAGTGGCTGGTTGGTTTGAACCACCAACCTTCTGGTTAGCAGTCAAATGACTTGGGCACTGCACCTACCCTGTCTTGTGTTAGGCACACCTTAGTCTTCAAAGTGTTATTCTTACTCCTTAACACTTTGGTCTTTTGCAGCAGATTGGAGCTCCGTGTTGTAGTGCCTAAGGCATTTGACTGCTGACCAGAGGGTTGGCAGTTCAAACCACCAACTGCTCCAGGGAAGGAAGATGGGGCAATCTACTCCCGAAAAGATTTACTGCCTCGGAAACCCAATAAGGGTCACTATGAGTGGGATCGACTCAATGGCAGTGGGTTTGGCTTTTGGTTTGAGTTATTTTATAGGCCTGTCTACTGTTGTAGTAATGTCTATTATTTGGCTTAAATGTGATCTCCAGGGGTGAGTTTAGTTTCAGGTTTGAAGGGTGTGTAAGGGCCCTAGTCTCAGGGGTTCCACCAGTCTACATCAGACCATTGATTGCTTTTTAATTTATTGTGGTTTGAGAGAAAGTTTATGGAGCAAATCAGTTTTCCATTCAACAATTTATACACATTTTGTTTCGTAACGTTAGTTGCAATTCCGTCAATGTACCAGCATTCTTCCCACTTTCTCCCTTGGCTGCCTTTTTCTTTCCTGCCCCTTCCTGCTTTCTGAGCTTTGTGGCTAAGGTCTGATCTGTTTAATGATTTTGAATTTTGTTCTACATTTTTCTCCCTCTCTGTCCAGGATCTTCTACTCCATCTCACAGGTTTTGAGAGAAGAGACAATGTGTGTCAAACTCGTAGCTGTATCATTTTTACTGATGGAAAACAGGAAAACCCATTTCCATTAGTTTACTGAATTCTTCCTATAAAAAGATGAAGCTGTCTACACACATACAAATATATGCATACATATATGTAAACAAAAACAAACAACATGTAAAGTTATGCATTCAGCGCTATTTGAAGCCCATAGGAACAACATATAAGTAGTTCATTTATCCTAACTT